ACCTTTTCCTTTTCATTTGTCTTCTGTATTGTTCCAATGCTTGAGCATGCATCGGTCTGGCCCCCCGATGTATTTTCTGTTAGGTCTGTAAATGTATCCATGTGTGTTCCCACGAGTAGGGCAGAAGTAAAGGTCCAGCGGGGCAGTGCTCCCTTACCCCGCTAAGACTTCTTACTCCGGGGGGTCGCCAGGTACTCCGGAGGCATCGTTCATGACCGTGTCCGTGCGGCCATGCATCCCTCGGCACGATAGCTCCCACCTTGGCTTACGGCTTTTTTACGGCTGGTCTGCTCCATCCTGGTTTTCCGTCGGGGTTTTCCTTCCCTTAGCCAAAAGGTCTCCGTTATTTGATGGCGCCGAAATCTCGCCATTCGCCCCCCCGATCTGGGTAAGGACTTGTCGGTTTGCTTTTGTTAGCTGGGCATAGTGTTCTTGAGACTGGCATTTATTGGTGTCACGTTATCGGCATAAGTGACCCCATCAGTACCCCACCGACCATTTTGGGCTGTTTCTCGGCTTCGCTACCCGTTCCTGTCCCGGAAGGCTCGAGAACAGGGAGCTACTGAACCCCTCCACCAACGGTAAGGTGTTACAGCCCCTAGGAGGGGAACCTAACCTAACCTAACCTAATCTAACCTAACCTAACCTAACCTAACCTAACCTAACCTAACCTAACCTAACCTAACCTAACCTAACATAACCTAACCTAACCTAACCTAACCTAACCTAACCTAACCTAACCTAACCTAACCTAACCTAACCTAACCTAACCTAACCTAACCTAACCTAACCTAACCTAACCTAACCTAACCTAACCTAACCTAACCTAACCTAACCTAACTCAACCTAACCTAACCTAACCTCTTTTTTTTTGTTGAGGGGAAACCGCTTGGCACCAACCGCTGGGTCTATGCAGTTGGTAGTGTCGGGCGCCACTCCGACTAAAACCCCTCTTTCCACTAACACACAGCATTGGAAACGCCTGATTGGGCCTACTTCAACGCTGAGGTCTGGAGCATCTTTCTATGCTTTCTGCTGTCGCATTGTTTCCTCCCTTTCTTTTTCCCCTAGAATATTACTTATGAATTTCTGTATCGCCGTCCACTTCTTGTTATCACTTATCATTTGCCCTATTATATTTTCTGCATGTAAAGGTTCACCAATGTCTAATTCGATCTCTATCCCTCTTTGCCCCATCTGTTGCAGAGAAACACTATGTGTTCCGGTGTATCAGTTTCTCCACAATAACAGCAATCATCCGTCTCTGTCTTCCCAATTCTCCTTGTATAGGTAGCGAAGCACCCGTGACCCGACAAGAATTGCGTGAGGAAGTAGTTTGTTCGCCTGTGTTTACATGTAATCCAACTCTCCAGGGTTCTTATCAGTCTTTTTGTCCAAGCTCCCGTTTCTTCTCCAGTAATCCAATCTTCTTGCCATTTTGTTACTGTTTCCGTCCTTTCGGCTTTTTTGACAGCGTCATTAATTTCTAGCCGTGCGTTGAGCCTAGCTCTTTCGTCAACCAACAGGTGTTTCAGTGGGATTCCGGCGATCGCCTGTGTGTCGTCCGTGGAGATCGTACGGTATGCGCTGATCACTCGTATTAGAGCTGTTCTCTGGATACTAGACATTTTTCGTCGGTAGCGTTTCATCCTCATAGCCCCGGTCCATATGGGGGCGCCATAAAGCAGTACTGACTACACCACCCCGTATAACATCAGCCTTTTCTGGCTGCTAGGACCTCCAACATTCGGCATCAGACGCCCAAGTGCGGACAGAGTCTTTTCCGCCTTTTGCACGGCATATTCTACGTGGGGACCGATAGACCCTATGTGGTCGATTACGACACCCAGGTATTTTAGGCTTTTTGTCCTCGTATCTCGGTACCCAGTATACTTAATTGGATATTACTCGCTCTTTTACCCTTTAGGATGATTGCCTCGGTTTTTTGGGGTGCTATATCGAGCCTAGTGGCTTTCATCCACCTTTCTATTTTTATTACTGCCATCTCAATTTTGTGTTGCAGGTCTTTAATGTCGTCTGCCTCCACTATTGCGCCTAAGTCGTCAGCGAATGAGGCTGTTGTTAATCCATCAGACTCAATACTAAGTATATCGTCGTATAGAGTATTCCATAGGACTGGACCCAAGACCGAGCCCTGAGGGACCCCTGCAGTAACCTCTAATTCATTGTTTTTGTCCACTATTATCTTTCTCGAGGATAGATAGCTATCTATTATCTTTATTAAGTAGCTGGATATTCCTTTTCTTTCTAGCGCATGTACTATACTCTCCCATGATGCGGTGTTTTTTTTGTGTAATCGGCTTCAACTGCTAAGGTTATTTCGCCTTGTGTTATGTGTAGGCTTTGTTACTGTTTCCCAGCGCCACTTTAGGAACAGCACTGTTAATTAAAACCCAACAGTGAATGGTCGAGTGGGATGATGCGATGTTAAATGCATTTTTTACATCTATCATCACCAGAGCTACCCATTTCTTATTTGAGTCTTTGGCTAGTTTGAGGACTGTCTCAACGGCCTGGATTGTCGACCTCCCCTTTCTAAATCCGAATTGTCTATTAGAGAGCTTTTCTCCTTCCTCGATTTCGATTTCCAACCTGTTTTTTATTATTTTTTCAAAGAGTTTGGCCAATACACTCAGTAGGCAAATAGGTCTGTACGAGGAGGTGCCGGTTTCTCTTTCCAGGCAAGTACCACCGCCGCGTCTTTCCAGTGGTCTGGGAAGAGCTGTTTCTTTAAGAGGGCATTCAGAGTACTCTGGGTAGTTGTTGGGATTTTGTCGATTACTATTTTTAGGACCTCAGTAGTAATCCTATCCGGTCCTGGAGCTTTCTTTGTTTTTAATGCTAAGCTGGCTTTTTTTTAGTTCTTCCAAAGTAAGTTCTGGGATGTCCTCCACTACCTCCATTTGCCTTGCGGTCTTCTGCCCTAGGTCCGGGAACAGTTCTCTGCGCCATTCCAGTTTCTGTTCTGGGGTTGGCTTATAGGGTTCGCTTCTCTTGCCTATTACTTTTGTAGCTATGTTGTATCCATCTCTCCATATGTCATTATTTAAATTTTCTAGTACAAGTTTCCAGCAGTCCCTTTTAGCTTTTTTTATTTTATTTTTTAGTTTCCTCTCCCAATTTTTGTATGTTTTCCTTGCTTCCCTTGTAAGTTAGCTCTCATCAGCATATAGCCTGTTTAGTCTGGTTAACTTTCTTCTGGCGGATACGCACTCCATTCTGATGTGATCGATGTCCTCACTCTACCAATAGGGGATCTATATTTTGGGGTTTGGATATCTGGTGGCCTTTTTTGCTAGCTCAGCTATAGTTTTCGTAAGACTTTTGATGTCCATAATGCTCCCGTCGTTTCCTATTTTCTGTAGCAATTCCTGGGCGAATTTTGTGCTGTTTAAGATTCCTCCTGTCACGCCTGGCTTACCTCTCCGGTTTTCTTTGCTCAATACCTCGAAATATATAGGCTGGTGATACGTATTAAACTCGCCTTCTATTATTCCCCAGTTTTTGACATCTTTTGCTATTTTATTAGAGGAACAAGTGATGTCAATGTGTGACTCGCTCCTTCCTCTGACAAACGTTGCCGCCCCCGTATTAAAGACTATGCAATTCAGCTCCAACAGCCAGTCTGTCAGTATTTCACCTCTCGCATCTATAGTTAGAGATCCCCACATCGGAGATTTTGAGTTGAAATCCCCATCTATTACGACTTCCCTTTTCTCTTGTCTGATGTCTGTCATCATACAGTCTATATACGACTCAAAATCGGCCACTCTCTCTAATGTTTGGAGATATATACCCGCCATACATGTCCCAGTCTTTAAAGTTGATTACTATGTATCTCCGCTTCTGCTTATGACCAATAATGGGAAGATGTTTGTTCAGAACGTGTATTGCCGCGACTTCATCTATGTCCAAAAGAAAGTTGTTTTTTCTCGCAATATTATTATTGGGCTCGGACAATATTATAATATCTATGTTTCTTGTTTTTGCCTCTATGCTGAGAAGGTCGTGAGCCGTCTTACTTCTTCCTAAGTTTGCATTAAAACTCTTATTTTTTGTTTGTCTCTTCTAGGCATTAGTTTTCCGTTTACTAATATTTTTTTTTAAATATATAGGTGTATTAATAAGAATGTGTGTATATATATAATAGTCCAAGACACACATTAAAAAAAATTAATTCCAAAAAGGCAGACACTTTTTCCGGGGTTTAATTGCCGGCCAACATAAAAATGAATGAACCTCGTTATGCGCCACTATGCATTGAATAAGTATATACTTTTTAAAAACTAAACATTTTAAATCACCAAGACTGAAATATTAAAACAATATTTTTTCTTTTTTTTTTAGGAAAAAAAAACTAAAAGTTTCGGGTCTCGAACCACCAACTTGCTATCCACATATCCAAATTTTGAACACTGTACCCTCTGCGCCACCGAGCACATATTTATAGAAGTTTGGAATCGCTTATAATAATATATAACAATTTATTACAAATATTTACTTATGTTGGCCGGCAATTAAACCCCGGAAAAAGTGTCTGCCTTTTTGAAATTATTTTTTTATATTTAATTAAGACGCTATTAAAATTAAAATTATATTTAAAAAAAATTAACTTTGGGATTGATTTATCAGTTATAAACCCTCTCAAAAGTGTCTGCCTAAATTACTAGTATTTTTAGAATTATCTAAACTTTCAAATGTTGTTTGTTGGCCTCTGAATCAAACACTTTTTTGGGTCATATTTTACGACCCCTTTCTATTATACGCAGTACCTGGTGTCCCGGGGTGGGTCTAGCCAACACAGGTATATCTGCTTTTCCATCCAAATGATTTCAAATTACAAAATTTCAAAGTGCATCAAACACTTAATGAAATGTGTGTTACTAGCTCTCCGGCTATAAGTTTTAGATATAAGGATGGTATTAACTAACTATATGTACTTCCTCTCCTAGACTTCAGTCTCTGCCTCATTATGACTTCTATGGCGCTTTTAAATCTTGGGCACGCCATTTGGTCCAGTCAATGTCCACTTTTTTCGCATGTAGGGCAGTTGTCGAATTTTTACAGTCTTTTGTCCTATGTCCCTGCTCCCCGCAGTTTATGCAAGTTTCCTCCTTCGCCTTAGGTTTTTTGCAATCCACAGCTATGTGTCCGATATCCGGACAGTTGTAGCATCTTGCTACTGCTACCCTTTCCTTGACTGTACACTGTACCCAACCAATTTTTACCGTCCCCATCTTCGTTAATCTTATTGCTTTTTCTCGTGGGAGTTCCACTGTTGCCACCTTCTGTTCCGTTTCCCCCAATTTTAGAGATCTTATTATCACTGAGTTACTGTCCATACTTAGAGCTTTTCCTATTTCCTCTTGTACCGTTTTTTCAGTCATGGTCGCATCCCCATTATATAGTTAATAGCACCACCTTCCCTTCTGGTGACTTTTGCCTCAGGCATTTTGCTTTTTATCTCTTCCTGCAACGTTTTAGCCATTTTTCCGTCACCCTCGACCATTAACAACAGGTCGCCAGCTCTTGATTTTTTAATATTCGTAATCTTAACTCCTATTTTGTCTATGTCAATCTCATCTTTAACCTCTTTAAGAAGATCTGCATAGGTTTTTGTTCTTGCCTCTATAGCTATAACCTCGTTTCCATTTTTTTCCGCTTTCTCCCCAGGAATTTCAGTTGTATAGAGAGATACCCTTATAACTTCGCTTTTACAGGTAAATTCAAGGATCTTTCTGAAGCTTTCCATGTTTATTTTTTTGTGTAGGGTGATAGCTACGTTTGCCCTATTCCTCTCTTTTAGCTTATCTCTAATATTCTCAGCCATATGGTATAAGTCTTTGTTTCCGTACAGATTACTCCAGACCCTAAAAATAAAATTCTTTTTTCTTCTCTCCTCCCTCGGCTTGTTCTTGACTTCTTAGAGTTCACGAGGTATTCGATCGAGTCGTTTTTATCATCGATCTGTTCTTCCAACAGCGGGTATTTTTCCCTCGCTACTTTTACAATACCCTTGTCGCAAGTGTCTTGAGTGTCAAGAATAAGAACTAGGTATGTTACTTCTTTTGCTTTTATGGGGTTTCCATGCATTACACTGGTCGCATGATATAGGGTCTCTGGCCACTCGTGGTCTAGAACTTTTTCTAGTTGGTCGTAAGTATCTCCATGTTCCAGGACTTTTGTAATGTCTTCTTCGGTCCAGTTAGTTAGATCTACCTGTGTCCCCCTGTCGTCTTTCTCTAAGACGTCCGTCTGAGTACCTATTTTCGTAGTCGCCTTCCCCAACTTAACCTAACCTAACCTAACCTAATCTAACCTAACCTAACCTAACCTTTTTTTTTTTTTTTTTTTTTTTTTTGAGGGGGAAACCGCTTGGCACCGAGACACTGGTTCTATGTGCTCGGTAGTGTCGGGCGCTACTCCGACTAAAACCCCCTTGCGGCTCTTCCGTTTGTCTACCAGGGATCACCTTTCGGCATTTCTTCTGGTAGATCGGCCGCCCCGAGATGTTCGCCATTTCCATTCGTTTCTTTTCTTCCCCTTTTTTTGTTTCAGTGCTCAAATTCTGTAAATTCCCTTTCCTCCCTTTCTTTCTGTTTGAGAACCTCAGCCACAAATTTGTGCCCCTCATTCCACATCTCTTCGCCGCTTAGCATCCAGCTGATAAAATTTACCGCGCTTGCTTCTTCCAAAACGATCCTTAACCCTGTTCTATTTTCTCTCCATCTACTGCAGCGGAGAATAGTGTGTTCGGGATCATCAACCTCCTCTTCACAATACATACATCTTGTGTGCGGAACCTTGCCTATCCTGTGGGTGTACGAACGGAAGCATCCATGCCCGCTTAGGAATTGCGTCATGTGGTGGTCGATCTTTTTAAATTTACACTCCAGCCATGCTCTCAGGTCCGGGATGACTGTCTTCGTCCACTGGGCGACTCCCTCAAGCAACCTAACCTAACCTAACCTAACCTAACCTAACCTAACCTAACCTAACCTAACCTAACCTAACCTAACCTAACCTAACCTAACCTAACCTAACCTAACCTAACCTAACCTAACCTAACCTAACCTAACCTAACCTAACCTAACCTAACCTAACCTAACCTAACCTAACCTAACCTAACCTAACCTAACCTAACCTAACCTAACCTAACCTAACATAACCTAACCTAACCTACCTCTATGAACCTGGCGACTGTAAATCAATTTTTACTATTTTTTTGTAAACAAATCGTTTGTTCGTAGTTTGTTCTTAAATGTTCGTCAAAAATTTTTATTTGTTCGATTATTGTTTACTTTGAAAAAATAAAACAATTTTTTTCACAAGTTGGCGCAATATGCCTCAGAGGTGAATTTTTTTTTTCATTCGACAGATTAATTTTTTTTATTGTTTGTTCGATTGATTCAATTGTTCGACTGTCTAGTGAGGTTAACGCTGCAGGAAACTTTAGTGAATTCTAAAAGAGCTCTAGGGCTCCGGTGCTATAGAAATCGGCGACGCGCAAGCGCGAAAATATTCTCGTGTTAAAGTGACGGCAGGTGAGGGCCCCAAACCTGCGCGAATACGCTTAAACAAGGATATCGTGTTGCGCCAGTGCCCAACGACAAGTGCCGACGAGTGTCATTCGGTTTTAGTTATTCACGTTTCAAATCTCGAACGAACTAAAAATAAGTTGGGTTAAGTGTCCGTAAATTGAAAGCGTCGAGGTTCTCGCAGGTTCTGCGGCGCGGACGGTTCCACGGACATAACTCTCAACAAATTTTTTGGAGTCGTTCTCTTGGTCATCAAGTAACGAACTCTCTTTTATTTTATCTCGAACGAAACAAAAAACAGTGCAAGTGTCCGGGACTAGGCTGCGAAACTATTTCCCCTGGCAGTTCGGGTTTCGCTGTGCAAGTGCGGACGCACACAGTTTTTCGGGACTGATTCTTGACCACCAAGAATCAGTCCTTTTTTTTATACATATACAATTCTACATACTTTCCAAAAACTCGCGTACACAGTGCGAAAAACTTAGTTTTCATAAGGCTGATTCTTGAATCCAAGAATCAGCCTTTTTTCTTTTCACTTTTTATCCGGCTACGATTTTCTACTAACTTTCCCAAAACCAAATTTAGAACGACATGAACACAGACGAAAATACGGATGATCCCTTCGACGCGTCGGAAGACGACCATATAAAAAAATTAGAACAGGAAATCAAGAACCTCGAGGGCGCAGCAAATGTCCCCAGACGGGACAGTCTTAAGAGGACACCGCCGAAGTTCAGAAGCTTCTCGATCTCAGATCCGGTGACAACCCAAACGTCAGAGGGCTCACCGGACAGGGACAGAAAAAGAAACAGGGACTCAGAAAGCGAAAGCCCAGAAGCCAGGGAGCTAAAAACCGCAAAGATAAAAATGACAAAGGACCAAGAAGAAATGGCAAAAAAAACCAAAGTTATAGAAGCAATGCTAAAAAAAGAACAGGAACAAGAAGAAAAAAGAAAAGAAAAAGCACTTCTGGAAAAAACCGAAAAAGAGAAAAAAGAAAAAATAGAAAAAGAAAGGCAGGAGAAAACAGAAAAAGAAAAGAAGAAAAAGGCTGACCAAGAGAACATCATCAAAGGTGCGAGTTCCGCGAGTGTCGGGCTAGTGTCGGGTAGTGCGGCGCAAATTATACCAAACATATCCCAGGTGAGTATGGCGTCAGGTTCTCAGAACACAGTTGAAACACAAGGGGGACGAGACTTTACAAAAACACAAAGGACAATACAGACAACGAACGACAAAATGAAGGAACTGAGAAAAAATATGAAAGAAGCGGTTACAAGGACAACTCCGCGTTCGCGACAAAAGAACAAAAAACCGTCTTAAACGGACTCGACGAAATAACGACTCTCTACGCGGACCTAATAACACAATTGCTCCTACAAGAAATCGAAATCAACAAACTGCAACAAGAAAACATATCACTAAAAAGCAACAGACAAACAACGGACACCTCAGAAGACAGACTTAAAAATTTACAATACGAAATAATAAAAGCAATAAAACCAACACAATCATCACAACCTACAATGACAAACCAAACAAGCGTAAATACTCCACCTACACACACCACAAGCACAGACTTCCCTCAACTTGGACAAAGGACATACGCCCAGTTGACAAAAAAGACAAACACAACAACAAACACGCAAGAAAAAAAACCCTGGACAACCCCAGAGCAAACAAAAAAATACGACACGGTTATAAAAATAAAAGAAGGAGAAACGGGGAATACGATAACCGAGCTTAAAAAGGTGATAAAACCAAAAGACATGGAAGGCACACAAATTAGACACACAAGAACGGCTATAGTACTAACATCACAAACAAAAGAAAAACAAAACGAAATACTAAGACGGACACAACAATCAACAACACTAGACATAAAGGACGGCACCAGACAGAACGAACCGACAGCAATACTCACGGGACTAAGAAAGGAAATGACAATGGACGAACTGACAGAAGCTCTAAAAATGGAAAATGATGACTTAAACGAAAACTTCGGGGACAGACTTAAACTTCTGACAGTCGTATCGACCCGGCCTTGCCGTAACCCTTACAAAGAAAACATTTACATACGGGGACCAACGGACATCATCAAATATTTATTAAAAACAGGAAAAGTATACGTAGACTTTCAGACCATTTTTATAAATGAGGCCACGCAAATTGCACTTTGCTTTAGATGTTGCAAATACGGACATGTGTCCAAATATTGTAAAGAGACGACACCGACATGCTACCGGTGTGGAGATGGACACGACGGAAACACATGCAACAAAGACATCTACAACTGTATTAACTGTGAAAGACTCAGACTAACACCACGCGGACACCAGGCTAGAGACGCTAATTGCCCTATATATAACAAAAAAATGGACGAGGCTCGGGCTCAGACATCGTACAAATAGACAGACGTACAACCCGCAAACAAACTAACAAAACAAAACAAGACCTAAACAAACACACAAACACAACAAAACAAACACACACAAAACCCGATTGACAAACACAAAAACATGAAATTTATACAATTTAATATGGGACGGGGAATTCAGGCAGCAGACCAACTAATGAAAAAAATGTGCACTGAGCAAACGGACATAGGTCTCATACAAGAACCCGCACATACACTAAACGGACAACACATATACAATATAATCAACAAAGACAGTAAAGCACCAATACTTATACACAATAAATGGACAAACAAAACAATTGCACACAAAGACATGACAGACTCCAACACCACAACCATCTCCATACAAGTAACGACAACGACTAACATAACAATAATCAATATCTACGACGAACCGGGAGGAGACACGAACACTAGACTAGACAGACAAAAACAAAAGATAAACAACATTACAACAAAAATTATAATCGGGGGAGACATGAACGCAAAGAACGCCAGCTGGGGGGGACAAATCACAGACACAAGGGGGGAAGACATCATGACATGGGCAGTACAACAAGACATGACAATAAACAACACACACGACAGCCCACCGACATTTAACTCAAACAGAGGCAAAAGCTGGGTCGATCTAACCATCACAAAAGACATATACATACAAAACTGGCAGGTTTCAGACGAGGACACACTTAGCGACCATCAATACATAACGTACAATACAGACAAAACAACATACCAACGCAGACAAAAAGACAAGATAACTTTTAACATACAAAAGATAGACAAAACTAAACTTAGACAAACAATAGAAATTACAAACTGGGCCAACACAAACGGAAATTTACAAAGCCATGCAAAATCAACACAAAATAAAATACAACAAATACTCAAAAACAACACAACAACCCGCAAAGAAAACAAGGTCATAAAAACACAAGCATGGTGGACAGAGGACTTGGACAAAATGAGACAAGAGACTAACAAAAAACGCAAAACATATCAACTAGAACAAAACGAACATCTAAGACAAATGAAACATGATGCATATATTCGACAAAGACGAACATACAAAACAAAAATAAAAGACAGCAAAAGACACTCACTCAGACATACCCTTACCACAAACGACCCAAACAACCCATGGGAAACGGCATATAAAATTATAAAAAGTAAGCACACACAGCCAAACATACTAACAACAATTAAGAGCGAAGACGGTACATGGACAAAAGACAGAACAGAGACTATCAAATACCTACACACAAAATACTTTCCGACAGACAACGAAAACGAAGACACGGACGAACAACATACACTCAGACTAAAAACGTACACTTTTGCAGAACACGGTACAGAACCAGCAATAGACAAGACAGAAATAATAAACACACTAACGGACATGAAACCAAACAAAGCCACAGCCAAAGACGGACTAAACAGAGAAATACTACAAATAATAAATGACATAGACAGCGACATACTACACAAATTATACAACGACTGCCTCGACCAGGGTATTTTTCCCGACATCTGGAAGGCAGCAGATATGGTATGGCTACCCAAAAAGGACAACGGACAACGACCAATCTGCCTACTACCGACGATGGGGAAAATACTGGACAAAATCCTAGCAAGACGACTGACATATCACTTAGAAAGCACAAACGGACTAAATGACAAACAATACGGTTTCAGGGAGGGGAGGACGACAATAGACGCGACATACAACGTCATAAACAAAATCAAAAACAACACCAGAGACAAAAGACACTCACTAGTCATCACTTTAGACCTTAAAAACGCTTTTAATACGGCCTGGACACCAAAAATAGCGGACATACTACAAAGACGACACGTACCGACAAATCTTGCCAAAACATGTATAGACTTTTTGAGAAACAGACAAATACAAACAGAAGACATAACAGACAAAACGGACCGAGGATGTCCACAGGGCTCAAGCCTAGGACCAATCCTCTGGTTACTGATAATGGAGGATTGGTTCGACAGCTTAGCGACAACCACAACAGACATTGACATGACACAAGCATACGCAGACGACCAAATACTGATTATAGGAGGAACATCACTGAAACAACTGGAAAACAAATGGGACGCGACATGGGAAATATGCAAAAAATGGGCAGAAGACAACAAATTAACGTACAACATGACAAAAACAGAAATTATGTTCATACCTTACAAACCGACAAGAGAACCCAGACTAACAGGAGACGGACAACAACTACAAATACAAAATCACATAACATACCTAGGCTTCACCATAGACAATAAACTGACGTGGATCGAACACATTAAACGAACAAGACAAAAAACGACGGACATAGCAAACAAACTATACGCAATAACAGGACGAACATGGGGACGCAGACCAGACATACTTAGATTCATGTACGAACACGGGATAAAACCTATGATACTCTACGGCTCAGAACTATGGGGACAAAGACACAAAGACACACGCATAACAAGACATCTACACGCGACAGAACGACCTTTTCTACTGAGAATAACAAAAGCTTATAAAACGACGCCCAACTTGACACTGCCGGTACTAGCTGGGGTACCTCCACTGGCAGCTGACGCAGGGGCAAATCACTACACATACAATACATTTTACAGGGACATACTACAAAACAGAACAAACACTACGGACAAACCACACCCGGCATACAGGAAACTCAACACAGAACAACAAGAACACACGACACACACCTTTATACACACGGACGCCAGTATCAAAAACAACAACAAATCAGTAGGAATCTCAATACAAAACAACAACAACAATACGCACACAGGCATCAAAATAAAAGTGGAAACTAACAAAGACATAAATACCCTGGAGACAATAGGAGTGACACAAGCCGTAAAATACATAACAAACAACCACGCACAATACACAAACCAAAATATACAAATCCTCACAGACTCAACAACAATAGCCTCACTAGACAAAACCAACACCAGACACCAACTCATAATAGAAATACAAAGACTAACACACCTCGCTAAACAACATAACATCAACATAACATTCGGTTTCGCACACAGATCAACAGTAGGAATAAAAAAAGCACACAAACTGGCAAACGAGGCACACAACGAGCATACACAAACAATACAATACCAAGACAAAACAGACATAAGAAAGAAAAAACACGACAAAACAATGACACTTTGGCAAGACACATGGACAACAGGAACAACAGGACGTACAACACACGACATTATAAAAACAGTAAGACACAAACACATACACATAAACAGGAAAACAGTGCAACTCCTTACAGGACACGGGAACATGAAAGCATATCTGAACAGATTCCACCTACAAGACACTGACGGCACCTGTGACATAGACGGACAAAACGAAGACACACGACACATAATTTACGACTGTAACGGACATGACAGACAAACAGCTAGGTCACGATTCAGACAAAGACTGACGGAAAAAGGACTAAATTACTTACCTCAAGACCTAGACATAACGGACAACACAATAATGAAATGGACAAATGAATGGGCAGACAAATTACTACAAGATGACGAACCGGGGACGTAAACATAAAAATATATATGACTACAGTTTTGTGAACCTAGACGCCATAGTCACAAAAAACCATATGTTGACAAAGGGTAACAAAATGTTATAACTTAGATATAAAAAAATATTCATGTATGTACATTTATTTTTACTCCGAAAATCACTTAATTTATTTCTGACCTAACCTATTTTACTTTCGCCTGAGAATCTTTATTTACATTAACTTATCTATTTTATCTCATTTAAATTATAATTTATAATCTGTTGGAACAATAATGGTACAATTAAACCAAAATGTAACAAAAAACCCATGTAATAAATAAAACTTGTATGTGTGTTTTTGGGCAATAAAAAATCAGGGTACAACGGTCTTCTCCCCGCTCATTTTTGGAGTGCGGAGTTGGGATGGGTTCCCTTGACAGTGGATTCGCTAGATACCGGGTAAATCAAGCCCTATGCCTAACGGTTGGGGGGCCGGCCTCGCAGGCCGAAATCAAATCTTTCTGTCTAGTCTTTACATTTTTATAAATTTTTCATAATTTATCCGTTATTAATATTCACAACGCTTGCGCTGATGGAATGCCATAGGCGCACTACAAGTTGCATAGATGCAGTAATTTTTTAACATTAATTTTTTCATGTTACACTTTAGAAAAAGCAAATTTATTTTATAATCAAAAAACGTAAAAAAGGTGAAGTAATATTTCGACTTAATTATCTCTTGGAAAAGATTAATAAAGAAGTCGAAGGTTAGGATATTGTTGTTGATAATTTATTATCATTGCAGTATGTTTAAGGGTATAATTTTATTTTAGCTAAATGAAAAAATGACCACCTCCAAAGAACGTTTATTAAAACTATCTAAAGCTGCGGAAAATTGTTATGACTGCTATAAAAATATTTATTTTTGGGTTAAAGAATTATAACAATATTATGATTAGTAATTAAATATATTTTTTCAATAGTTTATTTAAACATAGTTTTAAACAATTTCTTATCTTTAAACTTACAAAGCCCGATATGTTTTTATTTGTAACTAATATCTTCAAATTAATAATATTGGTGAATTTTTACATTAGTTATGAATTTCAATACTGCTTGCATTTAGGAATTAGAAAATCCTATGAATTATCCAGTCTATGGTTCATAACTGAGGCCGTCAGAAGCAGAATGGCCTAAACCCAAAAAGATAGTTTTGAGATAAATTGAAAAGAAAATTTGTATAATTTTTATGTGTATTTTGTTCTGAAATCTGTCCAGTGTAGAGTATTGTTATTGATTAAAATATTAATAACATAAATACTTATTATCTCCATGAATTTTTTTTTGAAATTGGCTTGTAATTAAGAAAAAAAATGTGGGATAGGCCGTTTTGTCTTCGAGAAATTTTTACCAAAAATTTTAGGCCAAGTTTAAAATAA